ATTGGAACTAATATAAGAGACGGAAATTAAAAGCTGAACTAAATTGATCTGAAATAAAATTAAACTGAAATAAACAAGCCCTTAATCAACTTATTTTTATTTGAAACATTAATCACCTTGTTTTACTCAATAAATAGTTGAAATTGGACATATTCCATCATTAGCTAGTCAGCATAAGAATATATGCTAACACGGTTACAACACGAATAAGAACAACACCGCTTCCAAGTTTAATTTCAATCCTAATTTGTGTCTATCTTTGTGAATTGAGAATCTTCTAGACTCACCTTCAAACCTTCCAGATTATTTCTTCCCATTAACAAATCCATCATATCATACATATAGAAAACTTCAATAAAACAGTGATATATTAACTCGTTACATAAAGGAATACTTCAAATAAATCAAACAAACTTGACGATCAAATTCAAATATCATTATGTGTTTGGTGTTTATTGTAGACGAAGACGAGAAGGTGATCGGGCGGTACGCAGCAGGCGGCGCGTGCCCCTACTGCGGTGGTCAAGTCCAGGCTTTAGATGTTGAAAAAGCATGGCGTTTATGGTACGTCCCTTTGTACACCCGTACCAAACGCAAGTTTCTTTGCTCTTTTTGTAATCGCCCTTTGATCATTCAATATCCATAATTATTGTTCATGTTTGTATTAAATTATTGTAATTGTTCGAAATATTTATATTACAAAGTACTCCGTATATGAATAATAATGATTATGTAATTATGTAAGGTTTTTTTGTGTTTGTAAATTGATGAAGTGTTTTTAAAATGTAGCCGATATTCATTTTTATGGAGGAATATTGTTGATGTTTCGTATTTGTAAACAAGTGTGATCATAAGCATTATAATAGTGTAAAAATAATAAAATGTCCGCTCTTTTTTTTCATTTATTAATTTTTATTTTATTTTTATTTGGTAAGGAGAAGGTCTTATTGGACTGGAACCTCTAATAATAAGTCCATTGCCCTCTGGATTTGTTGAGCCTTTTGGTTTTGATGGACAAATTGACAAACTCGACTAATGAATGTTTTGAGTCTTTGGTGAATAAAAGGTTCAAGCAAAGTTTGTTCCGGAGTAGGAACTTGGATGCGGAGTAGCATTCTCTAAAAAGCCTCATGCAAATCTCACGTTCTAGTTTTAATTGTGAGCACTCAATAATATAGAGTCGGAAAGGAACTCAATGACTTATGTTATTAAAAAGACTACTGGAATAAAAGTTATTTTTAAAAGATAATTTATTAAGGAAAAAGATAATCTAGTAATTTAATTTCAAATAAAGATAATTATCGAAGATAATTATCTAGTTGTTTTAATATAAATAATTAAATTATCTTTTTTCAAATAAAATCCTTTTTAAAATCTTTAACAAACTTTTGAAAAAAGTTAGCAAGCTGTGAAAATCTCTGATTATACGGTTTTAGTATAGCTAATGTTTATCAAGTTGTTGAGATAGTGGATTAGTGAGATAAGGCTAGGAAACCTCCTTCATGATCACCATCTGTCAAGATAACTCCACAAGTTGTTAGTGGGGTGTTGGCATGTGGACGTGATTATAGTGGAGGTTAATGACTAAGCCTTCTCTATAAATACTCATGCAAACTATCTCAGTAAAACATAACTCTTGAGCATAAAAATTCCAGTAGCCATCTAATAACATAAAGAGAGTTATTATCCTTCTTATATTCTTGAGTGCAATAGGTATTTGTAATCACAGATTGTAGTCAAGTACTTTGGGGTTTGGGATTGTGAGTTTTTGTAAAGTGAGGTCAAGGAAGCTTCGTTGCTGAAGTCTTCTGTGAGAGTTGGGAACAAGTTCCTGATTTGTGGAACTTGTTAACGGGTTTGAATCTTCACTTGTAAAGAGTTTGATTACATAGTGGAAATTTAGAAAAGCCTATATCTTCTCTCGTTATTATTTCATTTAGTTAAATTTCGCAAAAAGTTTTTAGATTTCACCTCAAATACAATTCACCCCCCCTCTTGTATTAGCCAGTTAGACTTTCAGGATTGTACTTTTTCTATTTTATTAATATTGTAACAAGGATGAAATTACACATCCCAAAGAGAATTTATATGCTAAATATCTATACTTGTTGTGTAAGAATAAAAATTATAAAAAGTTGATATTATGAAGTATTTTATGAGACGATTTTTTTTAAAGGCAAATAAAAGTGGCATTGCCCGGACTCGAACCGAAGACCTTCGGGGGCGTAGGTTGGTGTATTTTTTTGAATTAGAAACGGATTCGATTTAAACCAATACTGTTACCATGTGTTTGGTTTGAAGGCATGGTAACAATTACCATTACCTAAGGGTAATGATTACCCCTTATTTTGTAACCTCTCAAAAACTTGGGGTAAACTGTTAGGAATATATTTAGGAAAATCTTATCATATATTTTGTGATTATTATCATATACTTAGTTTCCTAGTTTATAAGGCTTAAGATATATCTTGAAGATATTAATTTGTTATGCTTTAGGAAACTATGCACTCTATATATTTGAGGATCAATCAATGAACATCTTGTCTCAAGACCCTCTGCCATCTCTTGATCGAGCATATCAATTGGTCTCCCAGGATGAGCGGGTTCGGTTGGCTAAACAGGTTCCTGCCGAGCAACCCCTGAAGCAGTTGGTTTTGCGCTTCGAACGAGCACTGGGAAGTCCAAGTCCGCAGCCACGGAGGACAAACCCGACAGATCAAGTCTCCTATGTACCTACTGCAAGAAACAAGGCCACTTTAGCTTCGGGCTGTTTTGAATTAAAAGGCTACCCGGAGTGGTGGCCGAATCCCTCTAAGCGTGGAAAGTCACAGTCCGACGCTAAAGGGAGACCTCAAGCTCAGGCAAATGCAACAACAACAGGGGCGTCTAATTCAAGCAACATGGACTCTTCGAGTGGTTCATCACAAACATTTACCGCGGAGCAATGGAAAGCAATTGCCGGTTTCCTTGGTAATACAAAAATTCCCGATGATTGCTTGAATGGTGAGTTTGACAACGATTTATGGATTGTTGATACAGGTGCATCTAGACATGTGACAAGCAATGACAAATGGTTATTTGATACTCGAACCATCTCTCATTGTCCCGTGGGACTTCCGAACGGCAAAAATAGTAAACGCCACAAAAGAAGGCTCGGTTCGATTATCGTCTAAAATCGTTCTTCATCATGTGCTATATGTTCCTGATTTTGTGTTGCAATTTAATTTTTGTATCTCAATTAATCGATGATACAAATTACACTGTCCAATTTTAACTCTAATATGTGTGCTATACAGGACCAGTCGAGGGAGCTGATTGGAACGAGTGTTAGGCGAGATGGACTGTTTTAATTTCGAAGGACGTGCTTCGGTGCAACATGTGGCTGTTTCTGAGTCTTTCCGCATTGTTAGAGTTTATGGCACAAGCGTATGGGGGCATCCGTCGAAAAAAGTCGTAAAACTTCTCCCTCATGTTCATAATTGTAAGGGTAGTTTAAATAAAGCATGTGACGTCTGTTTTCGTGCTAAACACCCTAGGTCTAGTTTTTTCTTTAAGTGAGAATAAAGCCTCTAGAATATTTGAAAAAATTCATTGTGATCTATTGGGTCCTTATAAACATGCATCGTCTTGTGGTGCTCGTTATTTTTTTTACTACAGTTGATGATTTCTCTCGTGTTGTTTGGATTTATTTGCTAGTTGATAAAACGGAGGTTTTCCGTATGTTTATGTCTTTTGTGGCAATGGTGGATAGACAGTTTTCCTAAACAATTAAAATAGTTCAAAGTGACAATGGCACCGAATTTAATTGTTTGCGTAATTTTTTTAATGCAACTGGCATCCTATTTCAAACATCATGTGTCGGAACCCCGCAACAAAATGGTCGAGTTGAGAGGAAACACAAAACACATTTTAAATGTAGGTAGAGCTTTGAGATTTCAAGCTAGCTTGCCTTTGTATTTTTTGGGGTGAAAGTGTTCTTGCGCCCGCTCATCTTCATAAACCGAACTCCTTTCCCTCTCTTGCAAAAATAAATCCCCCTATGAAATTTTATTTGGCACAAACCCATCTTACTCTACAATACGTACTTTTGGGTGTCTTTGTTTTGCACACAACCAAAAAGCTAAGGGTGATAAATTTGCAAGTCGGAGTCGTAAATGTGTTTTTATTGGTTATCCGTTTAGGAAGAAAGGTTGGAGGTTATTTGATCTTGATTCAAAGGAATTTTTTGTGTCTCGTGATGTTAAATTCTTTGAAGATGTCTTCCCGTTCCTTGATCCTATTTCCACCAATATCATTCCGGAAAAAAATTGTTCAGATATATACGGATGTGTCGTATGATTTTGATGAAGTGAGTATTGGGTTACAAGACCTTAGTGAGGGTCAAGGACATGTGCTGCACCACGAGCTTGAGCAGCCCGCAACACAGCAGTCAGCTGCGACAAGCCACGGCCAGGCAGAGCAGACCGCACGCAAGCAGCGGCTGGACTCTGCTGGCCGCGAGGAGGGCGCGGCAATCCCCTGCCTTGCTGCGACAGCAGGCAGACCAGACCGCAGGAAGCCCACGGCTGGAGCCTATTGATCGCAAGGGGGGTGCGACCCCTTCGGTTGACCTACGACAGCAAACAGTTGCAACACAGCCGCCTACAAACGTCGAGCAACAAGCTGAATTAGGCCGGGGCATGCGACCGAAAATTCCCTCCATCAAATTGAGAGATTATGTTACCCATACAATTATCACAAACAGTTCATCTCCAACTTTCTCTCCTAACACTTCGTCTCCAGAGCATCCCTCGGGTACTCCCTATCCTATAGCGCATTATATTAATTGTGACAGTTTTTCTCCACATTACAGAAATTATATTGCAGCTATTACTTCTGGCAAATAGCCAAGGTATTTTAAGGAGGTCATGAAAGATGCACATTGGAGACGATCAATGCAAAATGAAATTCAGGCTCTAGAAAAAAATGGCACGTGGACAATGGAATATCTTCCTCCTGGCAAAACGTCCTCTAGGCAGTCAGTGGGTGTATAAAATCAAATATAACTCCGATGGCAGCATTGAACGGCTAAAATCCAGATTAGTCGTCTTTGGTAATCATCAAAAAGAGGGTATAGACTATACCGAAACTTTTGCTCCGGTGGATAAAATGGTCACGGTTAGAGCTTTTCTTGCTATTGCAGCCTCGAAAAATTGGGAGCTACATCAAATGGATATTCATAATGTCTTTCTTCATGGTGATCATGCAGAATAAGTCTATATGAAGCTTCCCCAGGCTTTGAATCATCTCATCCGAATAAGGTATGTCGCCTTCGGAAATCTTTGTATGGTCTAAAACAGGCTCCTAGATGTTGGTTTTCCAAACTAACAAAATTGTTGAAGGCGTATGGCTTTTTGACAATCGTATTCTGATTATTCATTGTTTACGTATACGAAGGGTGCCGTGCAAATTAATGTTCTTGTATATGTGGATGATCTCATTATTTCTGGTAATAATACCGCTGCGTTAAGGGCTTTCAAGGCATATCTTAGTGATTGTTTTCATATGAAAGATCTTGGTACTCTGAAATATTTTTTGGGAATTGAAGTGGCTCGTAGTTCATCGGACTTGTTCCTATGCCAGAGAAAATATACTCTTGATATCATTTCAGAAGCAGGATTATTGGGATCAAAGCCAGTCGGCTTTCCCATGGAGCAGAATCACAAGCTCGGCTTAGCTAATGGTCCTCTTCTTGATGA